GTACCACATACATGTCTGGTGCCTGTGGAGGTCAGAAGAGGCAATAGATCTTCTGGAACCGAAGTTAGACACCATTGTGAGCTGCCATGTGGGTGCTGGGAACTGAACCCTGGTCCTCTGCAAGAGCAGCCAATGCTTGTACCCACTGAGCCATCTCTCGAGCCCCATCCCATCATTTCTCTGGGAAATTTCTCTTAACACAGTCAGATAGTAACCTATCTTCTTCCAACTTTTCAATGATTTTTCTTATAAATTTTATTAGAGAATTCCTTATTACTGAAAACTGTTTTCTCTATGTCCCAATTTCCCATCTTCTTCAGAAACATGATTAGTTTTCTTGGTGACTAGTCTCTACTCTTAACAAATCGAGAAATTTGATAATTGCCTTAAAATGATACGACTTCTATTTCTTGTAGTCTGTCCTTTAAATCTATGAGTACAAAAAGCAGCCTACCAGATTTTTCCTGTCTTTTCTTAAGTCAGTTTTTGAACAGAACACATAGAAACCAGCTATGTCGTGTGAGATGTGTAAAATCACTCATTGTGCCCTTAAGTCTGGGGCCAGAGTCCCCTGTGGCATTGCAGGAAGCTTCTGAAGAGAGTACAGTGGCCGAGTGGGATGGTGGATTGGGCTGTGGCTTGAAGCTTTTATGATCCTGTTAAACCAGCTGATGGAGTGTTAACTTGCTTCATTAGAGGGCTGTTCCCATTGTTCTCTAGGGGATGGTTTCCAGGAGATGGAGTCCGTGCCAGGATGTACTGTTTCTGGAGGGTGGGGATTCAGCCTACATCTTCCTTGGGAACTATAGTTCAAGGAAACCCAGTCAAGGAAGGGACTCAATCAAGAATCAAGCACTGCTGTGGGCATTGCAGGAGACAGGGATTAAATGCAGGGCAACAGCTTTTCTTAAATTTCTGGAGTATAGGCCGGAGCTCCCAAAGGATTCCCAGCGTAACACCTTATGCCCAGCCTGCCCAGTGTTTCCTCTGGAAGCCTAGAAACTAGCAAGTCATTATCCCGGCCACTGGCTCCAGGATCTCACTCTTGTAAAGCTGTCATCAGACTTTTAGGCCCTGAGACCACCCGGTCCCTACCGAATCTGACCAGCATCGCAGAACTTCCCCTCAGCTCCCCAATCACTTGTTCTCTTTCAGCTCATCAGCCCTGAGATCAGAATGAGATAGCATGAAGAGCTATTTGTTGTGTGAACCTGACTAGCAGATGCTAAACCATATTTGAAACCTCCCTAAGGGTCCAGAAGTCGTGTTTTTAGCCCTATAGTTTGTACTACAGGAAGGTAAACCAGAAGGAGGTTTCTGCCATGTTGGCTGTCCAGTGAGCATCTCCCTCACCCCTAGAAATTAGGACAGCATAGCCACAGTGGAATGCGGGGACATGTTCAGGATATACTTGAAAGGTTTCCACCATTCCACTGGTATTGGTGGTTGATTGATAGAGGAAAGAGACAAGGAGGAGGGGCGGTAACCAAGCTCATTAAGTCCTGGTCTTAGACTTTTTACAACACTGCCTTAGTCAGATGTCTTTATTTTTAAATCTCAAAAACTTAGTAAACTGAGTAACCAATCACTATAATCTTATCTATAGGAATGAGAACAAATTTGAGAACCAGGTAATTTCAGAGCTTCCTCATACCTCTGAAATTCCTTGGTAGATTTTTCAAAAAAGATAAGAGTGTGCGAGGCCGCACCTCATGTGCCCAGTACATTTTTTGGTAGAAGTTAAACGAGGGAGCCAACTCCATAGATTCCCTCATTTCCCTCCCTCACCCCACTTCCACCCTACCCGCCACCTTCCTACCCACCCTCCAAGCCCGATGGAATGTGCCTCAAGGGTGGGCCCCAGCACGACCAGGGTGTTAGTGTAGGTGGATTCCCTGGAGTGAGTAACCCTAATCTTGCTAAGCCTGCTGGGTGCTCCTAGGCGCTGTGCTTGCTGACTCAGATCTGTATCCAGCTGAGGAAGCTGTATTGCACAGGTGGCAGTCTTGCCCTGGATTCCCTGGCCCACCACCCCAGGGTGGGTGAGGCACTGGGTGAGTCCCCACAGAGGCCGGGCTCACTGATGCCCTTTCCTTATTGCCAGTGTGAGTGGTTCAGTCTTCCTCTATGTCCTACTAATTTTCCACTCTGGCATTGTTAATTGATAGGGGTCATGTTGAGGTGACTACTGAACAACTTATTAGGTGGCAACTAAATTGGGTCATGGCTGCCCCAGGCCGGGTGTAGTAATTGCTCAGGTGACTGAGCTGGCAACAGTGCCAGCTATTTTCCCCACTTCCCTGGATGTTTTTTATTAAAGTCTCCTGTCTCCTGGCCATTTAGTATAAACATAATGTACTCTTTTGCAACATTTAACCTTGAGTAAACTCATCAATGGGAGGTCTGTGGAGATGGGAAAGTAGTTAAAAGTAGACTGAATGAAAGAGATGGCAGCTGGTGTCTCTCTCCCAGACAGCAACGCAGGTCAGGCAAGCTTAGTGCTTGCCAAGAAGATGCCAGACCAAAGTCTGTGCAGGTGTGGTGGAGCTGGGAGCTGATGGGTGCAGGTGCTGCCTCTCCCAGAATGTTTAAATGGAGCTGGGAAAACGGAATACACACACCTTGGTTATGACAAAGCTGTAACTCGTGTTTTAAGGCCAAGTCTGCCCTCCCGGCATTAGAAAGGTGTTTATTAGCAATTTTTTTCTTCTAGAAACATCAGTGCATGTTGGCTTCCCAGGCTGGCTTCAAGAGCCCACCTTAGCTGTCTGGAGCAAGTGGATGAAGTGTACTGATGTGTGTGGAGTGTTAGCCTCTTCCTTCCTGGGAGACCACTGAAGCCTGGGGTGATGAAGCTCACAGGCTGTCTCCACGGTGGTCTGGAAAGGCAGGGTGGAAACTTATGGCGTCCTCAGAAACAGGGCAGTTGGTCCATGTGGCTCAGGCTCATGGGAACAGCTCGTCAGCCTCCACTGCTGGGCTTTCCTGCACGCGTTTTCACTCCGAGCATGGGGATGGGGCCCCCAATCAACATTTCCTGCTCTTTCCCAGGTAATGGAGTCCCTGTGGTTCTGTAGCATCTGACCACCTACATGGCATTCCAAGCAGCCAACGGTCCTCCTCCCCAGACATATGAATACACCTAGAATACGAGCCTCAAACCATCCTTCTTGCCCTTTGTGTGGCTTGTGCTTCATCTTTTGGCCTTCCCTCCTTAGCTCTGATTCAGACCATCTGGGGCCAACTCAGTAGAGGAAGGAGTGTGTTACTCTCTCAAAGCCTCTGGATCCTGCCATGGAGCATGGGCAATCAAGGATCCCAAAGAGTCCTGGGCAGATGTCAAAGCAGTGACAGGTGCCCCCTTCCTTCTCTGTCTAGGTCAGTTCTTTCCTGGCAATTGCTGATACAGACAGTCTTTTCCAAATTCCACTAAAGCCAAGACCTATAGCTGTCATCCTTGGTCTCCATCAGATGCTTCAGAAAGAAGTGTGGAGACAGTCAGACCTGAGGGTACCAGAATCCATGAAATTACATTCTGCGTCTCCCCATAGGCAGATCACAGGAAGACACCTAAAAAGACAGTTCAGGTTGTGGCCCCGTGCCTTCCACCCCTTGTCCTCACCATTCCTGACTGCCTCCGGCCTCTTGTCCTATCATTCATGAATTTTCCCATGATGGGTCATTTCTCCAGCTAGAATCAATACCCTCCCCCACCTTTGTATCTCCCTTGACCTGGGGTCAAAAGCTCCAAGGTGGAACAGTAGCCGGAAGGGCTTCTCTGCCACTAAGGGAGCATGGCAACACAGAACAGCAAGGATGGGTAATCCAGTCCAGTCCTGATTGCACTAGCCACTCACTCCCTGTTCCCTTGTCCCTCTGACCTAGAGGGACACTGTGTGTGGGCCTCAGTCCTTTTCCACTTTGATAAATAGGAAAAATAGTCATTGAAGATCTCTCTCTCTCTCTCTCTCTCTCTCTCTCTCTCTCTCTCCCTATCTCCTCTCTTGTATGTGCATGGATGTTTGTGTGTGAGTAGGCATACATACATACATGCTATAACACACATGAAGATCAGAGGATAAGTGAGATCGGGTGCCTGTCTTCACTTATCTTCTTTGAGACAGGGTCTCTCTGTCCTTTGCCACTGCGTATGCCAGTCTACCTGGTCCACAAGCTTGCAGGGATTCCCCTGTCTCCACCTCTTATCTTGCTGCAGGAGCTCTGGGATTGCATTACCATACCAGCTTTATGTGGGCTCTGGAAATTCAAATCCAGATCCTCACACTTGTATGACAAGTGCTTTATGGACTGAATGATCTCCCCAGCCCTGAGGATCATTTTCATTTTTCCGATTAAATAACGAAACTTAACTGCACAAAGTTGACCAAGTCTGAGACTCCAGTGGTGCAAGTAGCCTTACAACACAATTCACAAGAGCATTTACAAGAAAAAAAAAAGAGAATATATTAAGTTCATAGCTCAGCCTTCACTATTCACTATTTTTTGTTTTGGGACTGCAGTTCAGCCAGTATAACAATGTGGGAATGCAGATGTTGCCTTTCATTTCCCTGTGTTGTTATAGCACCCCATAAGGAAACGTGACCAGACCTTCCCATCACTTGGATTGCAGCAGCTCTGTGGGGTGTGAAGGACTTTGGTCGCCAGCTGTCACCCGTTTCTCTGGCCATTCTCCTCTCCCTCGATTTCCTGTGGTTCTGGGAACAGAAGACACACATGTCCACAGATTTCATGTGTCACTCCTTGCAGATGTAGATAATCTGTTTAGACTAAAGCACACATTTCATTTTGTGGGCAAATTAGAATCCCTGTTGGATTTTCAGCAGTCTAATGAAGATATTCTTAGCGTCACATGTGGTATGGCCCCAATAGCACATCCAAGACCCTGGTAGGGTTATTGTAATGTCCTTGTGGTTGAGTGCCACTAGATGTGCGTATGTGTATGCGTCTCTCTGATTTACCTTCTGTTTGCCCCTCTCTAGTGGGATCTTGTGTGTGATAATGCCTGGAAGGTCCATATCGCTAAATTCTCCTTGCTGGTTGGATTAATCTTTGGCTACCTAATAACTGGATGCATTGCTGACTGGTGAGTACCAACACACCTGACACATGGACCTTTGGAAGGCTCAGCACACCTTTGCTAGCTAAGGAAGAGTGGTCAGCGTTTAACCCAGAGTCACTGTGCCTTTGCTCTGCTTGCCAGTGATGTCAGAATAGAAGCTGCCACTTGGAGAATGCAGAGGCCAAAAAGAATTGACCGCTACACATGACAGAGCAGGGGGAAGAGGATGTAAATTCATTCAAGACCAGCCTGCAGCCCCATTTAGTTCTGATGACTTATGCTTAGTTGGGAGGAGCATGGAGAGGCACAGCTGGGTGCCAAGTGGGTGGATGCACAAAGTACATTTTTAAAAAATTGGAGAGCTGGGTGAAGTGGAATATACCTGTAGTCATTGGGGACTGGGGCCAAGGACTGCTTGAACTTCATGAAGCCAACCCAAGCAACATAAATGATACTCCATGGCCAAAAATCTAAAAATTTAGTGAAGGAGTTGGAGTCCCTTCACCTTATGAATGGAGGTAGATGTCAGTTCGAATTAGCACCTTAAAATATCAGCTCATCTGAGAGATAGTCGCTGGCTTAGCCAGAAGCTGTCTCTTGGGTAATGTGTGGCGGTGTGGACAAGGGAAGGGTAGCAGTTAGAAATGAGACGGAATGTGTTTTAGGTGGACAGAAGGAGTGGGTTTCCAGATCAAAATATGTGGTTCAGGAGGAAATAAATGATGAGGAGGACCAGGAGGAGACGGACCCTGAATAGTGATAATGGCATCATTAGAACCTACTGCTTAGGGGCCGGAGAGATGGCTCAGTGGTAAAGAGAACTGGCTGCTTTCCCAGAGGACCCAGGTTCAGTTTCTGGCACCCACATGGTAAACTTCTTTTCGACTCTGAGAGCACCAGGCACAGACACGCATGCAAGCAAAACACCTATACACATCAAAATAAATATTTTTTTAAAAAAAGAGCCCATTGCTTACTGATCACTGTGTACCAGGCCACTTTCAGATATTTCCAAGCCTTAATTGTTTATTGCTGAAAAACTAGAGCCTAAAAGTTTAAGTCAATCCCCAAGTCCACTCAGCTGTGAGCTGCATTCAGGACTTGACACCACACCACAGGGCCCAGAACAGCTTCTCTGCCAGCATGGCACAACACTTTTCTTTAAGGCATTCTCTGGACACAAGAACTCTGTGGTGCTGGGTCCAAGAGGGAAGACAATTGCCTAATGTCAGGAACTGCCCAAGGACAAAGATGTGGGGTGGCTTTTTCCTACCCCACTCTTTTCACAATAATCTTTTTTGTGTGTGAATCAGCATGTCTCAGGCCTGTTGACATAGGAATGTCAGGAATGCTAAGGGATAGATTCGTGTGTGTGTGTGTGTGTGTGTGTGTGTGTGTGTGTGTGTGTGGTGCGTGTGTTAGTTAGCCAGGGCAGTGGGAATGGCTGCAGAGCTTTCTCAGGCCACTTTAACTAGTGGAAATTTCCTTCCTCGTCTAGTGTCTATTTGTGTGGATATACAATGAGATTTCCTGTGAGCCCAGAATCTGCTAAATCGCCATTTCTAGGGCACATTTCTTGTGTTCAGCATTAAAACTGTCAGTGACCTTTGTAGGCCTGTGCTAGGAGCTGTCTAGTTTTTGAGGATGGAAAGCAAGGTTTTATTTGACCAGATGCTTGGTTTGCTAGCTTTTCAGGATGAGCTGTACTGATCTGGCAGGCACTGCTTCCCAGGGACCTTCACTGAGAGAAATTAGAAATGTATACCAATATGATCCCTGGCCCTCCTTTCTGAGAAATGCAGACTTGATAGCACGTGCAGTGTCCTGGTTCCACGAGCAATAGGAAATGCAGGATTTTATTAAAGAATCCATAGAAGTGTAAGTTCTGTCGGGGTTTTTCTTACACATGTATACCCAGTAGCCTCTCTGGTGACAATCCAGGCCTGGGCCTGGTGACAGACAACTTAAGAGCTTAGATATTGCTCAGAGTGCATAGAATCTGGTGTCACAAACCAGTTCTCTGCAGTAGCTTTCTGGGGGCTAGGTTGGACAAGCAAGCAGGGATGTCCTAAGGAGGCATCACACGTCTGATGTTTGAGTAGTAGCTTTGGGGGAGCTTGAGTGGCCTTCATTTCAGCTTAGCTTTGTTCTTCCCACCTCTCCTGTCTGTTAGGAGGGTGGGTTGTATTTTGCTCTCTGCTTAAGCAGAGAAATCACCCCATTTGAGGGAGTGCCGTATCTTAAAACAGGGTCAGGTTCAGGTCTGCATGAGGAAGTCGTTCAAGTCATGATTCTTTAAAATTACAGTCAGCATAGACAGACATTGAAGTGGTAGGCTGCTTTCCTTGAGTTTCAGAGCTGTGGATATGTCTCGGTCATCAAGAGCACTTGCTACATAACCATGAGAATCCCCACCACCCATGTAAAAATCTGTACATGGCCACATGGCCCCTAATCACAGAGCTTTTGACACAGAGGCAGGAGGATTTGGGGGGCTTGCTGGCTGCTGGCCTATTCCCAGGTTAAGGGAGTATACTGGCTAGGTTTGTGTCGACTTGACACAAGCTGAAGTCATCAGATAGGACAGAACCTTAATTGAGAAAATGCCTCTAAAAGAATTGGCTGTAGGCAAACCTGTAGGACATTTCCTTAGTTGCTGTTGGAGGGCCTTCCCATTGCGGGTGGTCCCATCCTTGGGCTGGTGTTCTGGGTTCTGTAAGAGAGCAGGCTGAGCAAAACCACGAGGAGCAAGCCAGTAAGCAGCACTCCTCCATGGCTTTTGAATCAGCTCCTGCCTCCAGGTCCCTGCCTTGCTTGAGTTCCTGTTCTGACTTCCTTCTATGATGAACAGTGATAGAGAAGCATAAAGCGAATAAACCCTTTCCTTCCCAAGTTTCTTTGGTCATGGTGTTTATTTACAGCAATAGAAATCCTAACAAGACAACCAAGGACCCTGTTACAAGGGAATACAGTAGAGAGTGAGAGAGGAGAATATCTGATGTTCGCCTCCAACCCCAACAAATCACATACACTACAGACACACACACCACACCACACACACACCACACCACACACACCTATACCATACCTCACACACACATACTCTCATACACACATGAAAATATTTAAAATGATAAAATATTTTTTAAAAGGAAGACCTAGTTTCATTTTCAACATGTTAGTTGAGCTACATGTGAAAAACTCAGGACAGGGCTCTGTTGAAGAATGGCCTGTGTTTGTAATAGCGTTAACAGGCGGAATGGAGGCATAGTTGGGGAGATATAAGCTGAAGAACCCCAGGAAAGAGGAGGTGGCTCAGGCATTTGTTTCTGCAAAGCAGCATGGGATACCAACCAGGTTCCTTATCCACTGTGCCTCTCTCTTACCTGCATGACTATCTGGTCCAACACCCAACCCCCATCCCTGCTGATAGAAAACTTCAAAGTGGATATTATCCTACAGGTTCTTTGCCAGCTTGCCCCATCTTTTATAAACAATTTCTGAATAAAAATCTCCTTCAAGCCAGGTAGTGGTGGCACATGCCTTTATTCCCAGCACTTGGGAGACAGAGGCAGGAGGATCTCAGTGAGTTCAAGGCCGGCCTGGTCTACAGAGTTAATTCCAGGACAGCCAGAACCGTTACACAGAGAAACCCTGTCTCAAAAAAAAATCCCAACAGAATAAATAAGTAAGTCAGATCTCTGCTAGTCACTTCACTGGTGTGGGATGTCTGTCTGGAGACCCAGTATCAGTTCCCGGTGACTGCTGTAACTAGCTATTACATGCTTGGTAGCTTCAATACAAATCAATCATTTTACAGCTCAGAAGCCTAACATGGGTGTCACTGGGATAAAACCAGGACCCCATCAGGGCAGCGCTCCTTTGTAGACGCTCAGGGGACAGTCAATTTCTTGTCTTCTCTAGCCCCTAGTAGCCACTTGTGTGTTCTGGGTTTATGACCCCTTCCTCCATCTTTAAAACCAGTAAAATGGAATCAAGTTCTTTCATGCTACTCTCCTTGGAAAATTACCAAATTTGAGGTCCTTAGCTGCAATCCCATTTTCAGAGTCTCTCTTGCCCCAAAAGCAAAAAAAAAAAAAGACCAGTTTCTGAGCCTTCAGATAATTACACCTTGGAATCCTGGAAGATAAAGGCCTTTGCTGTCACTCAGCTGGAATCCCACTCTGGGGAACCAGCTCATAGGAGGCTTGTATCTTTCACGTAGTGATGTAGCGAACGGTCACTGAGTTGCCAGCACATTTCCACACAAACTCCGTAGACACCAGTGGAGAAAGTGTGGCCTTTCTCACCTAGCTCAGGGATGGTGTGGTATAAGCCTGGATGCAAAACCAAGGTGTTTGTTCTGACTTCAGAGGCCACAGTCCCCACTGATTGATAGGTGTGTTTTACTGATTTAAGTAATCATTTGGGAGGGAGGTAAGTGGAATGTGTTTTATGAGATTTAAAAATAAAACTCAATCCTCTTTTCTGAGACAAAATGAGAATAGGAAAAAAAAAACAGGTCTGAGCATCAGGAGTAAGTGGGCATGGTAGCGTACACCTGAGACTGGAGGATTTGGGGAGGTGGGAGGTAGGACCTACCAATTTGAGGTCCACCTGGGCTACACAGAGTTCTAGGTTCGCCAGACTGGGCTGCACAGAACGACAATATCAAACAATAGCAGAAGTGCAGGAAGGTTGGAAGTTGAAATGTTTAGCTTGGGGATTCAGGCCAGGCCCATCCTGTTCTTTTAAGAAGTGAAGCAGAGCCCATTCCCAGGTGAGGTGGGTACAGGGAATTAAACATAGATGATAGAGATTTGTATTGTATACTCTACTTCCTATTAAGAGGACAAGTAAGCCATGCTTTAAATGTACTTCTGCGAGTGAGTTGGGTACGGACAAAGGCATCTGTAAGATCTTTCCTGGTAAGGACTTTGTGACCCCAGCCCGAACACAAAGGCTTTTCATTATTATAAACTCGTAGCCGTGGCCACATATCCCCAAACCAAAAAGACTAATTCAAATGGGTGGACCATTAGAAAGTCTTTGTGTTTATATTATAGTATAAATGTTGTATTTTATATATTTACATTTTATATTTAAAACTATTAAATATTTCTTTTATGTTTTACATATTATGTTATATATCTTATATTACATGTTATAAAAGTTAAAGTTATGGGAGATGGAATAGGCCTCGCAGTACTTTATCTTTAAAATGAGCTTTAAGTGGGAAAGCATTTGCATATGTACAAAACCTGTCTCTTAATGTGCACAGTTCAGTGATTTTGACTGTGTTTACGGAATTAGGTCCTTTGCCCAGTCTGAGTTTACATCCCTTCCATTGTCCTTTCAGAGATTGTGAAATGTGCTCATAAACATTCTCTGTTCTCACCCTGCCCCAGGCAGCCACAATTTTACTGTCTGTTTCTTTGGCTCCCCACTCCAGCCCCCCACTTTTTACTTGAAGTCATAAGTGTCTAGGACAACTAAAGCCACTTCACTACCCTTTGTGGTATTGAGGGCACCAGTCTGCATTTCCTCCCTTCCCTCTCCCCCCACCTTCTCAGTCAGTTATCCTTCCAGCCCAAACCCAAGCCAGTTGTGTTAAATATTAATTTGCTTGCTGCAGCTGTGTTGCCATAGTTTTACTTGTAATAAGTAGAGAAAGGTGAATGGTCAGTATGGGGACGAGGGAACTCGTGGTTTTTCAGTTTCCATGAGGCTGCCCCATCTGCCCTCTGATTGCCCCCAACTACATTGTCCCCTAGTGGTCATTGATTGGGCACCGACCAGCTCTGGGTGTGGTTTGTGAACTCACTATACCACTGCCCTTTGCTGCGGGTTCTACTGTCAGACACCAGAGCTTTTATTTACAGTCCAAAGTGTCTAGGCTTCGTGTATGATTCCTGTAGTCGTCTTAGAATTACATGTTGCCATGTAGCTGAAGCCAATTGTAGCTGGCCCAGCCCTGGACCTATATAGGTTGCCTGTGAAACAAGATAACCTCCCCAAGGTAACAAGTGGAGAACAGAAGTGAAACCTTCCCTCCATGTCCATGTTGACATTTGGGCTGGTTCCAAAGGTCAGCAGTTTCTCAAGACATTTTATGCTGGGCGTGTCAAGGTTTGTGTTTAGGGAGTTATTACTGATTTTGTTCTCTTGCCTTCAGCTATCCCTGTTTATACACAGAGATAGACTCAGCAATGGTCACCATCATAATTTTCTCTCCTATAGCTGTTTGAGCAATGCTCTCTCAGTCCTAGAGGAGGATGTATGTGGTTCAACATCCCACAAGAGGCCTCTATCCCAAGGGAGTAAGCTATGATCTAGGCAAGTGGGTACAGGTACTATGAAGACATTTAGCTACTACCCCTTCAGTGTATGTTGAGTGCTCACTGGATGCTAACACTGCCGCCTTGTTTAACACGGATGCCTGACTTCTCCCCTCTTTGCATGCAGGGTTGGTCGGCGGCCGGTACTGCTCTTTTCCATCATCTTCATTCTGATCTTTGGACTGACTGTGGCACTGTCGGTGAATGTGACAATGTTCAGCACACTCAGGTTCTTTGAAGGATTCTGCCTGGCTGGAATCATCCTCACCCTGTATGCGTTACGTAAGTAGGAAAACCAGCCCAAGTGTTGCTGCCTGAGAGGTTCTGGGCTAGTTGTGGGGTGAGAAACACACACTCTGAAGTCTGTGTGGTTACAAAAAAAGTTTCCAACTGGGGTTCAGTGCCTGCATCAAGCAGAATAGAAGTTTGTGTAATGGTTTGGAGATATGGAGATCAGCTCAAGCAGACATGGGGGGGGGGCTGCTGATTTCTCTGGAAGTTTTTGTGCACTCTAGAATGCACCGTTGGGTACCCTAGTCCTGGTTCTAGCAGAGCATCCTAGAGAACTAGTCCGCGTAAACTGCCCTTGACTATCCTGGACTCCTTGAGATCTTTTCTTCTACTTTGAGGCCATACAAAATCTATATTTTTAATATTCTTTTGGATGTGACTGTGAGTGGTCTGGATTTGAATTGTCAGCTTTAGTATAGCATATTAGGTGGCAAGACTTGGTAGTTTGCTCTTTTGAAATAGGATGAAAAAAGCCATCAGGGGCTCTAACATGTTTGTTTCCCACATGATCTCCTTGGTCACATATGGGTATGTTTTTCTTACCTGTATTCGATTCTCTGGAAGACAGCTACATGCCCACAAGAGAAGGAGACTCTGCAGACATTGTACTGGTTGGTTTTGTGCTTCTGGCCACCGTGGAAAGACCTGTAGGATCATTGGGCAGATAAGGTTCTGACTTTCCTGATTGTTGATAACAGGGAGGAGTCAGGTCTTGATTAGGTAGTACTTTCTAGAGTAATAAATGCAAATAGATGTAATTCTTTTCAATTTGCATTTTTTTGAGATATGGTTTCTTTGTGTAGCCTTGGCTGATGTAGAACTAACTGTGTAGATCAAATTGGCTTCTGCCTCTGGAGTGCTGGAATTAAAAGCATGCGCCACCACCACCATCACCGACTCAATTTGCATATTAAAGACATCTTTAGGTAACCTAAATTTCTGTCCCACTAGATACACAAATCAGTTCATGGCATAGCATTTTAACCATAAGAAAGTGGATATGGGGAAGGCCAGAGTATCTTCTTCCATCCTTTCTAAGAGTAAGCTGAATTGTAGTTTCTTATGGGTCACCTGTTACAGTGTTTGTCTTTATTTTCTATAACCTGAACTGTGTTGTTGGTTTTAGACTTACTGACTTGTACTGACAAACATCATTGTGCTGTTGGCCCTGTGAAAGTCGCTGATATATTTCTGTTGAATCTGAGAGAGGCGGCTTTCACGGGAATATGTGCTTGATGGACCTCTTTCTTGCCCTGCCCTCCTCCATGTCTGATACTTGGACCCTTTCTTTAGCACAAGTCCTTTGGGCTGTAATTCTAGTTCCCCGTGGACCATCTCTTCTAGTAGGGCCTTATGAGTCAGAGATTACCACAGGCTTCTGACAAACCAATTCATTTTTTTTGTTTGTTTGTTTATTAAGCTTGAAAAGAATTTTGGAAGCTGGGGAGAGGGCTCTTGTTCTACAAAGACCATACTTAGTCTAAGAAATGGGTTTGCATCTGTCTTTGAGGTAGAGAATCATATATCCTGGTTATCTGCCCCTTGTTCTGAAAAGAGTCACATAGTAAAAGTTTTAGGCATTGTGGGCCATATGGTCTTTGCTACAGCTACTTAACTCTGTCACTGTAACGGGAAAGTGGCCATGCATATACATACTATGCAAATGAGAAGCTGTAGCTCTGTTACCATACGACTTTATCCACTGAAGCAGACTGTGGACCATATTGGGCCAGTAGTTCAGAACCTTCCAAGCAATGGTAGAAGTAATTCCTGTGTTGGACTGACAGCACAAGCTCTAAGTCCTGTGCTTTCTTAATTTCATCTTTGTGCAATATTTTCTGTCTTCAATAATTTTGTATATATTTGTATAAGCGATCTGCCAGTCTAAAGCTATTATTAAAAGAGATTATGAAATGGGGCTGGAAAGGTGGCTCCATGGTCAGTGCTTGCTGCTCGTCAGAGGACTGAAGTTTAGTTTCCAGTACTCATACTCCGCACCCTAGAGCCACCTGCGAGGAATCCTGTACCCTCTTCTTCTGTTCACCACAGTTGCCTACACACATACACACACACAAATAAATAATTAACTCATTTTTTTAATGTGACATATATTTTTAAAGTTGAGAATAACGGCCAAACATCATGACACAGACATTGCAATGAAAACGTCCAAGTATTACACAGTGGCCTCCTGTGTGAGCTAATAGATTATTTCAGATAGTACAACTTAAATGAAGCAAAAGAATGTCAACAGTGGCTTGAGAACCCATTGAAATGATGAAGAGGGGGAGGGTTTTGTTAGGAAATGACAGACAAGTCATTGGAGAGTCAGTTCTATGACGATGGAGAATTGAACAGAAAGGAAGCAAAGTCACGATTGGCAGATGAGGTTGGGGTAGACATGGGTAATTGGTCTGGGGTGACCCAGCTCTCCAAATCTCTGTCTGGATCATCTTGAAGAAATACATGAGCTGGTGACAAGTCATAAAGAGGTGCTCTCAGTCAACAGGGCAGGGAGCTATGAATTTCCAATTAGCGAACTTGCTAGCTTTTTCTACACACGAAGCATATGCCCATAGTAAAACCTGTGATTTTGCTTAGAGGACTCACTGATAAGTTGGGCCATGGGGTAAGTAGTTCTTAGCTCCAAAGACAGCTGTAAAACTTCTGGACATTAATTATTTGCAAGTAACATTTTTAATGGTCCCCAAATTTTCTCTTCCTTCATCTAGAAGCTTTTTATATCCCTTATGACCTCTGCTGGGAAGGGCTGGCCTTTGTTAAAACAGATCTTAGATTTATTCTGTTTTAATGTTGCATGTGCTTGGCTGTGGAACTAGCAAAGCAATGGTTTTTGCCATTTTGATTTCTGTAGTTTATCATGAGGGTAGGCTATTTCATTTCAAGGAATGCTGTCACTGGATAGTGGTGGCACAGGCCTTTAATCCCAGGCAGAGGCAGGTGAATCTCTGAGTTTGAGGCCAGCCTGGTCTATAGAGTGAGTTCCAGGACAACCTGGGCTACACAGAGAAACCCTGTCTGGAAAAACCAAAAAAAGAAAAAAAGAAAAAAAAAGGGAAAGAAAGGAGAAAGAAATGATGCTGACTATGGATGTTTTCTGCTTTATTTGTAAGACTGCCTAAGCTTTTAGTTTAGCTTTTTTTTTTTTCTGCTTTGGATTTTGTTCTAAGGTACACTGTGGTTAAATATTCTACCTTTTAAACTTTTGTTTTCTTCAAGTTGCCAAGTGGATAAGTGGTTGTGTAATTAGGACATAAAATAGAGATTATTGGCGTCTTCCCAAGGATTTGAAGAGCAACAGAGAACAGGCCAGGCCTGTGCAGGACCACAGCAGGGGTGCCATCCTGCTGCTAAGACCATTGTGAGGCACCCAGGCCCTTAAACACACTTGGGCTACATCAGAGGGTTGGTTTTCTTTTTTTTTAAACCTATAAACATAAGAGTATTTGCATTCCCACATACCCACTCACACATGGTGGGACACTAGATTTAGTTGTAAGAGACACAGACAAGAGCTATAAATCACATCTCCCCATCTCTGTATGAAAGTTGTCTTATCAAAGCCTAAAGAGATGGCTACATAACCAGCTGTGGCTGATTGTGGTCTGACCCTCATTCCCAGCTAAGAAGGTAATGTCACAGGCTAGGTGGTCCGGCACTGTTTAAGATGCATCTGTCTCCAAGGCAAGCCTCTTTACTGTGGCACTTAGGAAACTGTCAGTTGGATGGCTTGAGACTAGGGGTTTGGGGCTGGTCTAGGCCTGCATAATGGGACACATCCCTTTTAAATGAAATAATAATAATAGCCAAGATTATTGGTTTGTTTGTTTGTTTTTCAAGTTGATTTGATGCTGGATGTAGTAGGGGTTTTTTTGGTTTTGTTTATTTGTGAATTGTAGCTATATAACTTTTTTTTTTTTAACTAAGAATGATAATTTTCTTGAGAACCCTCTCGGTGATTCTCATAATAATAATTCTTCTTAAGCCTAGCTAAGCAGCCTAAACAATTAAGTAAATTTTATATATCATCAAAGAGTGATGAGAAATTGTAAGGTTTCTAAGTTACTGATGACATTGCAAAGTTAGCGTCTAAAGTCTTGATTTAATTGCTAAATAGACTAGAAAACAATCTGGACTTTGCACTAGGTGGGGTGTTGGTTTTTTTCCTCTGACATGACACTGATGAGTTTAAACTCTCAAGGGAAGGTTGGATAACTTCTAATCCACGGGCCAGGATGATACTTGTATTCTTACTGTACTGTGTATTTTTTTATGCTTACATATCCTTCTGAAGTCCTCTAATTTGTATTATTTTCTGCATTTGTCTGTGTTGCTGAAAATCTAGGAACTTAGTCAACAGAGCTGTTATACTTTTTTTTTTTTAACTTTTTACTTAAATGACTGCACCAAATGGCTCCGTGTAGTGAGTGTAGTGAGCAGCAGACGTGTGGAATGAAGGGAATGGAGATTGTTGAGCTATGGAATGAAGAGAATGGAGATCGCCTGTTGAGAAAGTAGTTGACTGCACTGGAGAGCAAACATTTGCCTTGCGTTTGGGGGGAGGCACCTTCCATGAGAATATGTGCTTGGTGGGTCTCTTTTTCGCCCAATTCTCCTCCTCTGATATCTGAGTCTTCCTGTATTAAATCCTTCTGGGCTATAATTTTAATCCTGGTCCCCTGTGGGCCAACTCTGCTGACAGGGCCTTTTCCACCAAGGGTTTGAATCAGAGTTTACCATAGGCCTTTTATAAACCATTTTTCTTTAGCTGGACTCCCCCCCCCCCCTTGGGTAAGAAAGCCTGTACAAGCATGAGGACCCATCTTCACAGCTTCAACACTGACATAAAAAGTTGGAGGGGGTGCTGGAGTGATGGCTCAGAGGTTAAGAACACTTATTCCTCTTGCCAAGAACCTGAATTTGGTTTCCAGCAGCCACATGGCAGCTCACAACTGTCTGCAAATCCACTC